GGAGGGTACAGCCCACTTGCAGGCCCCTCACCTAGACTTATTCCTTCTAGGCATCCCCCATGTATCCCCTCATCTCCTGCATCCTCCAGCCAACTAGGGTTTCTTTCTTCCTGGTCCCCAGGGCTGGAGATCTTGTTACCCTGACTGACCTTTCATCTCAGAAACCCCAGTTCCTGGCCAGGAAAATGGGTCAGTGGTTAAAGGCTCCTGCCACCAAGCCTGACAACATGTGGTCAGTCCCTGGAACCCAGATGTTAGGAAGTCCCCTGACCTCCATATCCACATGTCACACACATGCCTTCACATACACACAAGAAGTCCCCTGACCTCCATATCCACATGTCACACACATGCCTTCACATACACACAAGAAGTCCCCTGACCTCCATATCCACACATGTCACACACATGCCTTCACATACCCACAAGAAGTCCCATTGTTGCTAGAGTTTTCCTGCCTGGCCCACAGTCAGGGCAAATCTCTCTCACCCGCCAGTCCCAAGCCGCTCAAACCCGATCAAGTAAACACAGAGACTTATATTGGTTACAAACTGTATGGCCGTGGCAGGCTTCTTGTTAACTGTTCTTACAGCTTAAATTAATCCATTTCTATTAATCTATACCTTGCCACGTGGCTTGTGGCTTACCGGTACTTTACATCTTTCTTGTCCTGATGGCGGCTCGCAGTGTCTCCCCCACTCAGCCTTCCACTTCCCAGCTCTATTCTCCTCCTTGTCCCGCCTATACTTCCTGCCTAGCCAATGGCCAATCAGTGATTTATTTATTGACCAATCAGCAACACATTTGACATACAGACCATCCCACAGTACTTCCCCTTTTCTTTTCTTAAAAAGGAAGGTTTTAACCTTTACACATCTCCAAAGTCAGCTTGGTATATTTGGGAATTTGGGCGTAGCTTCTCTTACTACTTTCTGCTGGAGGGGGGCGCTGTATCTTCTGGGGAAACAAAGAAAATTTTAGGATCATGGAGTAGTCCGTGAGGCTGTATCATCTGAGCCAGTTGTCTTGAAACGGTTCTGGATGTTGGATCATCTGGGCCATGGTGTCATCGGAGACCTTTCAGGGGGTCTTGGCTGGTCAAACCTGATGTATCTTAATCTTGAACAAATCAATAGCCTCTTGCTTTCTGTGGAAACAAAAGAGACTCTTTTCCAAAGCAACATATCCTTACATCCAAATTTTGAAGTCAAAGTATCTTTAAAATATACATACTGGTTTAACTCAGCTTCCTTTACAATCAAATATCTCTCTGTAGTTAAGAATCCCAAAGACAACACAATCCAGACTCTCTGTGTAATAGTCATCTCTACGTGGCTTATTTTTTATATTAATTTTACTGTCTCTTTAAAGACTTTATTTTTTAAAACCATGTATTTGTTTCTATACTGTATATATCACCTTTTTTTGTCTCTTTCAAGCCTACGTATATTTTACACACATTTTAAACTATTACATCTGAATCTGTCTTATTGTGAATCTATTGCTTTAAGCTGCAGCAGCTGTGGCTTCTGGCTCTGCCCACCTCAGCTTCCCAACATGGCGGTGGTTTACCACCAGCTCTGGGAACCATCGTGGGTCTATATGCTTTTATCCAAGCAGCGTGTAGCCCAGAAACCTCTTTTGTTTTGTACTAGCAAAGGCTAAATCCACAATGTAGCTTAATGTGCCACTTGCAGAGGCCTCATTCCCGCCATACTGCAGGTCGAGCGCGCACGCCAGCAACCCGCCAGTAGCTCAAACCGGCAGCTGCCGCTCATTTGAGAGAGACAATTAGGAAGCTGTTTTTAGCTCCGTTTTAGAATCTTTTTTCTCAGGTTTTAGGTGGAAACTCTTGCCCCACGTTGGGCGCCATTTGTTGCTAGAGTTTTCCTGCCTGGCCCACAGTCAGGGCAAATCTCTCTCACCCGCCAGTCCCAAGCCGCTCAAACCCGATCAAGTAAACACAGAGACTTATATTGGTTACAAACTGTATGGCCGTGGCAGGCTTCTTGTTAACTGTTCTTACAGCTTAAATTAATCCATTTCTATTAATCTATACCTTGCCACGTGGCTTGTGGCTTACCGGTACTTTACATCTTTCTTGTCCTGATGGCGGCTCGCAGTGTCTCCCCCACTCAGCCTTCCACTTCCCAGCTCTATTCTCCTCCTTGTCCCGCCTATACTTCCTGCCTAGCCAATGGCCAATCAGTGATTTATTTATTGACCAATCAGCAACACATTTGACATACAGACCATCCCACAGTATCCCATGACCTCCATATCCACACATGTCACACACATGCCTTCACATACACACAAGAAGTCCCCTGACCTCCATATCCTCACGTCACACACATGCCTTCACATACACACAAGAAGTCCCCTGACCTCCATATCCACACATGTCACACACATGCCTTCACATACACACAAGAAGTCCCCTGACCTCCATGTCCACACATGTCACACACACATGCCTTCACATACACACAAGAAGTCCCCTGACCTCCATATCCGCACATGTCACACACACATGCCTTCACATACCCACAAGAAGTCCCCTGACCTCCATGTTCACACGTCACACACATGCCTTCACATACACACAAGAAGTCCCCTGACCTCCATATCCACACATGTCACACACACATGCCTTCACATACACACAAGAAGTCCCCTGACCTCCATATCCACACGTCTCACACACACATGCCTTCACATACCCACAAGAAGTCCCCTGACCTCCATGTCCACACGTCACACACATGCCTTCACATACCCACAAGAAGTCCCCTGACCTCCATGTCCACACGTCACACACATGCCTTCACATACCCACAAGAAGTCCCCTGACTTCCATATCCACACATGTCACACACACATGCCTTCACATACCCACAAGAAGTCCCCTGACTTCCATATCCACACGTCACACACATGCCTTCACATACCCACAAGAAGTCCCCTGACCTCCATATCCACACATGTCACACACATGCCTTCACATACCCACAAGAAGTCCCCTGACTTCCATATCCACACGTCTCACACACACATGCCTTCACATACCCACAAGAAGTCCCCTGACCTCCATGTCCACATGTCACACACATGCCTTCACATACCCACAAGAAGTCCCCTGACCTCCATGTCCACACGTCACACACATGCCTTCACATCACACAAGAAGTCCCCTGACCTCCATATCCACACATGTCACACACATGCCTTCACATACACACAAGAAGTCCCCTGACCTCCATATCCGCACATGTCACACACATGCCTTCACATACACACAAGAAGTCCCCTGACCTCCATGTCCACACATGTCACACACATGCCTTCACATACACACAAGAAGTCCCCTGACCTCCATGTCCACACGTCACACACATGCCTTCACATACACACAAGAAGTCCCCTGACCTCCATATCCACACATGTCACACACACATGCCTTCACATACACGCAGAGAACCTAAACTGGACAAAGAAACTGATTCTTACTATCTGAAGGGAAAAAACAACTGAGCCGTGAAACCACCCCTCCTGGTCACAAGTCTGCAGACTACTGGCCTGCAGCATGATCCTAGGAAAACTTTGGGAACCCGCTGGGGAAGAAATGGGGGAGGTAGATAGGGCTCTGGCATCCTGAGGCATTTTTTGAAGGGAGGCTTGGGATCACAGAATGGTGTTTGGGTAGACTAGACTGTTGGGAACCTCCCAAAACCCATCTCTGCTTGTTTCTAGGACTATAGCATCGACGAAGAAGCCGCCTTCCAGGCTGCCCTGGCTCTGTCCCTCTCTGAGAACTGAGGCACAGCCTGGCCACCCGCCTCAAGTCTGGGGCCGAAGACACAATCCCGCCTCAAGGGATAGGGCGATGGCCCTCCTGCCCTGGCACCTGCGTAGGAACACGCCTTACTGGGCTAAGTGGGATTTCACACAAGGAGAGCTGGTCTCAGAGCCCCCAGGGCCGGGATGCTGGCTAGCTGGCCCCCTGCCATCAAGCAGGACCACTGGGTCCTGGCCAGCAGCACTGGGTCATCGGTGCTTCAAGAGGCAGGTGCTGGCCATTGGGTTAGAGCAGTTGGCTGCCTTGCCCAGCCATGATGTCCTCGTGTGGAGAAGGATGAGGTGCCCTAAGCTGTGCCCCAGCAGGACCAGGGGAGGAGGCACCCAGCCAGGCTGCCAGCCCACCCGGTCCCCAGCTTTGCTTCCACCGTAAGCATTTGGTACTGGCTTTTGTGATATTTAGGAACCCTGCGTTTTTCTATCTTATCCTGTGTGATAATCTTTTCACGTTTTATAGAGCAAAGACAAAGCAGTTCCTCTTCATACCGCAATACCTGTGTTTGACTAGGAAGAACAGTATTTTTATGGAGCATTTACAAAGTTATATTTTTTAAAAAAAATAGTCAAAAATAAACACTTGTGTGAGATCGATCAGTACACAGTGAAGGAGAGAGGGCACAGCCAGGGCTTCGTCCATGTGTGAGGCAGGTGGTGTCCCCAAGCCACTTGCTTTTTGAGGAGGAGGTTCTTGTTTGCTGGTTTCTTTTTGATGGTGCCCCAGAAGAAATCCTAGCACTCCTGGCCACTTGCTGTGGCTGCTCCCAGCAGATGTAGGACAGTCCAGGCAGAAGGGGGCCCTTCTCCTGCCCCAGGAACTGTCCGTGGCTCCCTGTCACCTTCCAGAGCCAACCACATCCCTCATCAGGCAGGGACTGCCCTTACCAGGTAGAGCCCTCAGAGGCCAGAGAAGCCTGCTTGGTGGGAGGTCAGGCTAGAAAATATTTGTCGGCATCTTGTTCTGTTCATGGCATAAATTGCTGTCTTTTCAAAAGAGTTTCAATAAATTGTTTCCAAGCATCCGCAGCAGCCTTGGTGCTGGTTTTACTGTCGGTGTTAGCTGGGGGCCCTCAGGGTCCACAGCTCTTCCTCACCTCAAGGGGCTCTTTCTCTGGTAGTTGTACCACCATGAGCCCTTGGTCACCTCTTCCCGGCCTCTGGGTGGCCTACAGAATGGTGGAGACATTAGCATAGTCTTTGGCTCCTGTATCTTACCATTCTGAGGCTGGTTCCTGGGTCTTGTGAGGCAGGCCAGCTATTGTAACTAGTCCAGGAGGGGTTCCCTGCTGCCCTCTAGCCCACCGAGGGGTTCTCCTAACTGAGGAGAGCTGGGCATGGTGGCTCATGCAGGGAGTACCCAGCACTCAAGAGCCTGTGCTACGTGGCAAGCTCCAGGAGGTGAGTAAAGACTACAAATAAGACCTTGTCTCAAAACAACAAAGAGCTGAGGAGTCAACCTGGCAGCCAGGCTCACCACAGCAGATATGGGTAGACTGCTGCGTGCCTTACTGTCCCACTTAGTTCTCAGGTGGCACCCAGTGGCAGGTCTCACTTAAGTGGGACATGGGCAGGCAAGTCAAAGCCTCCCACCCACAGGCTGTAACTTGAGAGGGACTGGTTGCTGGACCAATGAATAAATACCCCGTAAGAAGCAAAGTCACCTTCAGACTTCCATCTGGGAGGTTCCCGTGGCTGGGGGGGCCTTTACAGGCAGTGTCGGGTTCTGGGGTCAGTAGTGCTGCAGCAAGGCTGGCCTCCCTGGTGATCCAGACGTGGGCCCTCTCTGAGCTGTCAGCTACATCTGAGAGCCCTCAGAGCAAGGCTGCTGTGTGCTCATCCCCCGGCTGCCACCTAAGCCTGCCGCTTCTTGGACAGGCACTCATTGTCCAACAGGAACTGAAGTGGTGCTCTCACAGGCCCAGGCCTGTGCTATGACTGACCACAGTGACACATCAGAGAGCATGATCTCTGGGTGCCCAGGAAACCCTGGAGGCAGCTGCAGACCAGTCACAGCAGGCCGTGACCTCAGCCCCAACCTTCACATGCGATGCTTCCTGATTTCCTCTGTGCTGGCGCTGTGGAGGCCACTCTGCAAGCCCGGTCTCTAAGGCTCCTCAGAACAGCAGAGCCTGCACACCTGTGGGGGTGGGGAAAGAGGAAGAATGGCAGGTTGTAAAGCCATTTGTCCATCATGGTCACATGTTACATCTAGGTCGGGTACAGGGCACCCTGATCTCCCGGGCTGTGCTCTGCTTCCTGGATAGTGCAGGCAGTAGATCTTGGGGCTCACCGGATCAAGTGTGGTCTCGTTAGCCCCTTGTACACTGTGGTGTCTGGTCTCATCCCTCAAGAGGACTGGGGGAGGGAGTGAGGAAGAACCACACCCGTCTGCCCCTGCTGTTACTAGGAGCAGAAGCAAGGGGCAGGAAGGGGTCCCTTTCCGGTGTCCCACATGACTAGCTACTCTTTGAGTACATGGTTCCCACTTGCCTGGATAGATGATAATTAAACCTACCACAGGTTAGCCAGGTGTGGTGGCACACGCCTTTAATCCCAGCACATGGGAGGCAGAGGCAGATAGATCTCTGTGAGTTTGAGACCAGCCTGGGCTACAAAGTGAGTTCCAGGACAGCCAGAAGTGTTACACAGAGAAACCCTGTTTCCAAAAACCAACAATAAAACAAAACAAAGCCCTAACCTACTACAGGCAGAGCAATCCCTGAGTGAACAGAAACGACAAAGGCAGGAGGTGTCGGTCTTATCATTTACACATACCTCCCCCAAATGGGTCCATTATTTAATCTACCCCATGATGAAATTTAGCCCATACCCTCTCTTTCTGGCCTTGTAGAACTCTTGATTCCTTTCTTTGATTCAGTCCATGGAAGCCCTAAGGCTACCTTTCAAGGCTGTAGGATGGGATGTGACAGACACCTCCTGTGCCCAGGAGGGCTGACACCCTTCTCAGCTGTGTCTGGGCTTTGAGGGCAGTTGCCCCTTTAGCTAAGCCATGAGGCAGCATCCACCTGAAGGTACTACCTAGTCTTCTTCCCCCATTGGCACCTTCCCCATCTTGGCACCTGCAGATGGCTCCACATCTAGGAGTCTCTGGAGGGACATCAGAGTAAATCCCGAGGAGGGCAGGAAACCCAGACAAGGCGGATGTCAGCAGACCCATACCCAGGTGAAGCAGTCTTAGATTCAGAAAGCAGCCAACCATTCCCTTGTATTTTCTGGGGGAAAAAAAAAATCTTTGGAGACAGGTAGCTAGAATCTGCGATCCTAGTGGGGTACCCCGTAGAACAGAGGGGCAACCACTCTTCTTGAGAGCCTCACACACGAACCTATTGCCATAAAGTCTGCCAGAGGGAGGGACGGAATAGTCTCCCCAGGCTGTGAGCAAATCAGCACAGTGTCTGCAATCGGGTAGTCCCTGTTCTTAGATGTGGCTCACCTCTAAGCTGAAAGTTCAGCAAGCTAGGCCCTTTTCCCACCTTGGACTACTCCAGGAATAGTAAAAGCTACCTGGGCCTCCCCTGTCACCCACCCACACACTCAACCATCCTCCCCCAGCCCATGACGCCCTGCGGCATCCAAGGCGTCAGAAGCCTGGGCTGGCAGCAACATGCCCTTAGTTTCACGTTATGCAACAGCACCAGAAGCTAGCCCCCTGCTTCCTAGAAAGCACCCTGACCACAGGTTCCCGGACCTTCCTCTCAGGAAAGGGCTAGGTCGTCAACTAGAGGCAAAAATCAGAGCATGGGGATCCTCAGCCTCAGGCCTCTAAGGAACTGTCAGTGATCTCCACGTCTGTGTCTTAGGAGATCTGTGTGCTCCCCCACAGCACTGGAACACAGTGCTGTATGATGTGTGTGTGTGTGTGTGTGTGTGTGTCCTGTATGGTTTTCAAGGCTTCAGCACTGTATGCCCCCACACCTCACTTCTGAACCAAACAACCCGTGCCCAGCTGCACTTCACCCACCCACCAGCCCGCCTGGCTGCAGGAGTCTGGCCTTCCCGTGATTCTTGAAGCACATTTGTATGGTGTGCTTGGTGCTCACCTACTTAGTGTAGGAACACCCCTGTTTGAGCTCATGAGGCCTTAGAGAAATAGTCAGAAACCACTGTTACCATTGGATGAAAGGATTTTGGAGACCCCGCCCCAAGCTTGTCCGAGAGGAGTGAGTGGAGCCTTCCAGCTTCCTGCTCAGCTCACCTGGAAACCACGGCATTGCAGAGCACCCAGCCCCTCAGCTGAGATGTAATGTCAGGAGAAAGGCTCCCTGTATGTGAAACACCTGGGCAGGCCAGGCAGGTGAGAGGTGGTAGCACAAAGTCTGTCAGTGAGCTGCCTTCCTCTTGGGCCCTCCCCTGTGAGATGTCAGCCCTCTCTGCCCTCTCTCTGAACATTCAAAACACTGGAGGAAAAGGCTTCATCCACACATAGTAGGTGTCAAGGCCTAGTGTGGTTCACGGACTCTCTCTACAAAGGCCAAAGAATGTCTCCAACTGAGATCTCTTGGTAGTAAGTGGGAAGACTGAGCCAGCTCCCTCATTCTGAGCTTTTTCTCAGGGAAGAACAGGGAGAAGATGGGTTGGTGAGGCTGTTTGCAGACCACACCTCCCTCGTGTGCTCAATCCAGTTCTGAACTCCAGAAACACTGAGAGACCATAGGGGAGGCTGTGGTCCTGGGAGGATGAGACACTGAGAGCAGGGGGCAGTGACAGTACTGTGTCCCCCACAAGCACTCAGAAATGGACTGTGGAGTTGAGGACTGGGATGTGCTCATCCACAAACCTGCCATGTTGGAGCCCGCTGCTCCAACTTTTTCAGGATGCCATCTGTGCAAGTGTCATGGGATGCTGGGATGGAGTACCACAAAGTGGTTCTCTGTGGGAACACCAGAGCGTGTTTGGAGGCCAGAAGTCCCACATGGATGTGTGTCAGAGCTGTGAGGGAAGGTGGCAAGGACTCCCCAGTTGCTCACTGCTCAGGCCTTAGGACTCTATCCTGACTCTCCCCGCTGACCCTGTACAACCCCGGTCCTAACAACAGGTGGCTCCCTACACTGTGCACACTTAAGTCTAATTACCCTCTTTGTTAGGACATTAATCATTAGATTAGAACCCAAACTAATGATCTCCTCTTGAATCAGCAACATCTGCACAGACAGCATTTGAATCAAATCACACAGTTGTATCCCATTGAATTGACATAGTCCAACCCATGACACCCTCTACTAGTTCAATCAATACATCAGGGATCAAGGCATGGGCAAACCATGACTTCTCTTGTGGGCATGTTAGTGGAGGCCCCAGTGAGGTAGCATTTGGAGTTAGTTGTCACTGTGATAAAGGGGTGGGTGTCTGCCTCATTCTTGTCAGGGCTGCTGGTTTTCCTGAGGCCTGCTCCACACATGCTTCTTGGGGTTGCTGGGAGCTGCATGGGACCTACAGAGCATGGCTGAAGCCTATGAGTTGGATCCCAAACCTGAGTTTCTGCTAAAGGAGGTGAATGAACAGCACAGCATGTAGGCAGTAGGTAAGGCCCAGGTATCTAAACAGCATGTCTCCCTGAAGAGACTTGTGCTGGCTGAGGCAAATCTCTTTCCCATTTGGGAGGCTTCCCACTGCAAGGGACTTAGGATTTTAAACCCTGGTAATGGAGACAACTACTCCTTCTTCCTGGGCATGCATGGGGCCCTGTGGTTGTAACTGTGAGTCACAGCTAAAGAAAGACCTTGCACAACCACAAGGTGAGGGGCCTGAGAAGTGAGGACCTCCAACCTCCTTCAGGGTAATGGCTTGTGAATGCCTCAAAGGTGGGCCCAGAACTCTTCTTGAGGCTGGCAGTTCCCCTCAGGTGTGCCAGATCATTTCCTCATTAAGGGTGTTAGGAAATGAGTTTGGATGATTGGCCAAAGACCACACAATGGGTGGGTGGGAGCTGGTTCAGGAACCATAGGCCTTATCTATGCCCGGGAGGAGAGAAGTACGAAAGACTACAAATAGAACTCTTACAAGTCCAAAGAACAGGTGAATGGGCAGCCAGCAGGCATGTGTCCTCAGAGAGCCTCCCTACAGATGCCCTATTTCCACACTTTCTTACAGATCAACAAATGAGTACTCACAGCAGCATCTAACCAGCCAGAAGTGTGGGCCAGGCCTCGCTCTGTTGTCCACAGACCTCTGAGAACCTTGGTTTTCTCCTATGCAAGTAGAACGGAATGACTCCATCTACTGTGCTCTGAATGCCAGAGTGACTCAGCCCTCTTCCCCCAACTGTCTCTGACTCTGAAGATTCACCTTCTCTTCCCATCTCAGCCCACAGATGCCAAGGAATGGCGTGTTACAGGGTAAAGCTCATTTCTGGCCAGACAGGCCTGCTACTCAGCCACAGGCACACCCAGGTGGTGCTATGTCCACTACCCCGAAAGTCGTAAACATCCTCATGGAGAACCTAAACCACCAGACAGGGCTGTTCCAGTTCTCCCGGGACATGGGCAGCATAAAGGATGCTGTAGAGGATTCGGACAAGCTTGTCCAAGTTGGCTTGTCACTGACACCCAACCCTGAACTCTGCTCTTTCATCCATGGCAGGTCGATGGCCAGCCCCCGCGGGGTCGGTGCGTGACCGCGGCGCGGGCCAGCCAAGTCCCGTGGGGCAGACACCGCCGACCACGCGGCGGGTTCCCCGCCCGCGCACCTGTCCTGGGCGTGGCTTCGCGGCCCCGCCCCGCCGCGCTCCGCGCTGGTTGGCCGAGGAGGGGCGCTATGCTAATGAACCTGACCCTTCTCGCACCTGCCGGCCGCGCTGCCCGCGGGCACCGCGCGGACCCTACCACCCGTATCCCGCTGCGGGCTCGAGATCCTGCCGCCTCTAGGGAGGAGACCATGCCGCGCTCCTTCCTGGTGAAAACGCACTCCAGTCACAGGGTCCCCAGCTACGGGCAACTGGAGACACAGAGAGGTAGGGGTTGGCTGGATCTCTGTCCCCAGCTCTCAGCGCTGCGGGGAAGGAAGCAACTGGGAAGTCCTTGGGAGCTGGGTCACACCTCTCCCAGGTGAGAGGGGAAGCGGGTAAAGTTTTCCAGTACACCAAGGGACGAGGTTCCCTTCTGGGCTAAGACTAGGGCTCCAAGAGGGATGTGCTCAGGGCAACTTCTCCGCTTCGGGAGATTCGGACACACCTGGAGGCTCTTCTCCCCGCTTGGAAAAGTTTCCCGAGCCCCGGGTCTCCCTGGAGCTCCTCTCCCTGTGTGCTGCCAACACTACAGCTCCAGCCAAGACCCTGAAGGCCTCTCCGTGCAGGCCTGGAAGGGTCCAGACTTAAACTGTGTCCCAGGCGCTGTATACACCCACCCAGAGAAGGCCTCACTGACCACAGCCAGGAAATTTGTCCTACCCACAGAGGGTGGCTGGTGAGAAAAGGCAGGACTCCCCCCACCCCCCACCCAGAGCATCCTACTTGGGAGTGGTGAGCTCACTGACAGAGCAAGCAGAACCTCTGGTGGCCTTCCCTCCTCCCAGAAACCCCCTTGCTCTCCTGGTGTAGTGACCAAGGTAGAGCCGTCCTCCACACGCAGGCTCAGGTGTTCACCATTCCTGCTAGGCTCAAGGGCTTGAGGTCTGAAGCACCCTTAGCCCTCAGAGCCACCCTGCTGCAGTAGGTCAGAGCCATCCCCACCCAAGTGGGCAGCTTCTTGGAAAAGACCCACTAGGGACATGCGCAGAGCCTGGTGGGTACCGTGGATCTCAGGGCTCAGGCCAGCACCCCTGAGTCTTACCCAGAATCCCTGTGCATGCGTGTGTGTGTGTGTGTGTGTGTGTGTGTGTGTGTGTGTGTGTGTGTGTGTGTGTGTGTGTGTTGGGGGGGTTTCTTGGATCAGACCCCATCAGCCATGCTGCCACTAGGGGGTGCTATCTAGGACCCTGCCCTTCAGGGAACGTTTTGAATTCAATTTGATGCGTCACCACCTGTAATTTTGTAACAGAAGAGAAACTAGAGTGTGCTAAAAGTCTCCTTTTAGTTGGGCGGTGGGTCTCCTTATGGAGGAGGTGAAAGTTGTATTTACAGTGAATGTGGTGTTTTTCTTATACTAAGGATGCAGTCGGTGCCTCATACACGGTTAGTCAAGCACTAGACCATGGAACCACACCTCTAGCCTCAAGCCATAGCTTTCAAAGTTTAAAACCTTAGGGTGCACTCCTACAGCACACCCCAGCTTACCACTTAAATGAACAAGTCAAGTGCCCTGCAGGGCCCTGTTGGAGGATAAGGGGTTATCCAGGACAGCCTTGACGCCTTTGCATTCCCTCTTGGCTTTCCCAGGACCCCATGGCCCCAGTGACTCTCTTCCTATCAGGATGTTACCCTAGAATAAGACCTGAGGTGCTGGGGTCTGGGCCCCTCCCTCCTCTTAAGTAAATGCCTTTTAGGGGCCTCAGAGATTCCATGAGCCAGAGAGCACTGAGACCCTCATCTTCCTGGAACACCACCCCCCACCCCTACCCCCCGCCGCCGCCGCCGCCACTGCCATGGGTCCGTTTCCTTTGCCTGTGGAGTGGGCACAGAACACAGACAGGGTTTAAATGTGATAGTGCCTGGGTCTCAGCCGTAGAGATTTGCCTGCAGACTGGACCCCAGTGAAATTTTCCAGGATGGTGGCCCCATTCTGTCGTCCAGAACTCTACTGAGAGCCTCTTAGCTATCCTGTTCTCTCCTCCCCTAATTCAGAGTATGATATGCTGGCTACATAGTTAGGGGGAAATGTGTGAAAGAGCTCAGGTATGGAGAGAGTAAAGGGGTTTAACTTTCTGGTTCTCCAAATCCTCACCAACACTTGTTGGTGTCTTTTTTCTTAAGTTCTAGCCATCGTTGTACTAAGAAGGGGTATCTTAACATGTGGTTTTAATTTGCATTTTTCTGTTTAATGATGTTGGGCATTTTCTTGTGTGATTATTGCCCACTTGTATATCCTTTTTAAAATGTTAGTCTTTTTTTTAATTATTATTTGTGGGTGGGTGTGGACATGTGCGTGTCATGCATGTACGTGGAAGTCAGAGCATACCATGCAAGATTCTCCTCTCATCATGTGGGTTAGGACAAAACTCAGGCTGCCAGAGTTTGCTGCAAACATGTTTACTTGCTGAACCATCTTGCCAGCCTCACTTGTGTATTGTCTTTGGAGAAATAGATATTCCTATATCCCCCCCCACACACACACTATTTTTGAGAGGGGATGGCCCGTGTATCCCAGGCTAACCTTGAACTCTATGTAGCTGAGAATGACTTTCAACTTCTGGTCGTTCTGCTTCTACCCCCCTAATTAGGATTACAAGTATGCAATGCTTCACCCAGTTTGGAGAAGGAGCCAGGGCTTCTTGCGCTAGGCAAGCACTACCAACTGAGCTATGCCCGCACCCTTTCATGCTGTTTTTAAGTCATGCTATTAGACTTTTCATCGTGAAGCTGTAGAAACTTTCTTTGTCCATATACTAGTTTCTTATCAAGCATTTTTGTTGTTTTTCACTAAATATAGTGGCTGCCCCTTAAGCAACGGCTGTCCTAATCAGCAACTGTAACTCCACAGCTACCAGCAGTGGTTCAGCCACAAGGGCCACAGCCGGCAGGAATTCTGTTCCCTCGGGCACCAGCTCTCACATTTGCCAAAGGGAACTTTATCTAGATCTCTCTCCCTCTAAAGAACTCAAGATTCGAAGGTTAAGGTGAAATTCTGCTCGCTCAGAGAGGCCGAATAGCAAGTAGCTCACCTCCTCTCCTTGCTCACATCTCCCCAAAACCCAGCCTCCTCCTGCTTCGCCCCCACTTAAGAACCCTAGCTACACATGGTTCTTCCCTACCACTTCCTGTCAGCTAGTTGCCGATTCAACCTCCTGGCTGCAGGTTAATTTTATTTAGTCAAACAAATGTAACACATCCTTACATCATTAAACAAACGTTCCACAGCATGAACAGATAATAACACATTTTAAATTAATATTCCACAACACATTTCATTTGGGAATATTCCCTCCCAACCTGTGGACAGCCACTTCTACCCAAAGCCTTGTCGTCAAGGCAAAAACAAGGGTAGAGATTTGTCTGAGCACATGTAGAAGAAGTGGATGAGGGCTGATTGGTGCTTCTGTCTTTGGAGAATCCAAAATTTGCTTCTTATTTGCAGCGTGTGGGAGGGATACTGGCATTGTTTGATTAAACACATGAAATTCTGGCCACAAATGCAGGAGCCGCAACCAAAAGACACACAAAGCCAGGACTAGATCTGATGCTGCCTAGTAAAGCAGCAGCCACCAGCTCCAGCCACTTGCCTGGCTGGGCATGTTCATGCATGTTGACAAGTAGCAAGTATGTGCTGTGCCGTGGCCAGGGATGTGTCTGAACACAGCATATCATGACACACTCAAGGAGACGCCACAGGGGTGGGTGACCCTGTGGTGACTGGAGGCTAATTGCTGTGGGGGTGGGTGACTGGTTTTTTTTTTTTTTTTTTAACCAGGTTCCTTTTGTTCTGAGCTCATCTGTGTGGAGCCTAAGGGTGCTAGCCCCAGCTGCTGCCCACTGTCCAGACGTGGGACCGGGTCTCCTTAGACAAGCTGCCCAGACACAGACTTAGAGCAAGGACTCCTGTGAGGAGCTGATTCTTGGGGTGTCCTAGGTAGCCCAGGCTGGCTCAGACTTAAAATCCTCCTGACTTAGTCTCCTGAGTGCTAGGTTTGCAGGTGTGTACCACCATGCCTGGCTGCTCGACTGTTTATGTTCCTAGGCCCTGGAGGTCCTAGAAGATAGTTCCCTTTCCTCATTTTAGACAAGGAAGTTCAGTTCACTTTCTAGTGTCTGGACTTGTCTAGTTCATGCCTTCCCCAGCTTTTGCCTCCCACCATCACCACCTTGCATGGACGGACCAGAACAGCAGGCGAAGGTGGGGAAGCCTGATTCTCTAGGTATGATGGGTTCATGGTAGGGACTTGTAACTCTGGCTTCCTGCTGGCTGCTGATAAGACAGGCCAGACTGCAGTTACATAAATGAGCAGACGTTTGGAAGCCCAGGCATTATGGCCTCATGTCTCACGATGTATTTTCTCTCCCCCACTGCCCTTCTAGAGGCTAATGGCTCCAGCTCTGCCTGTGAGGAGCCGGTGGGATCCTGCCACCTGCCAGATGAGGAGGCCCCTTCCACTCCTCGTGCCCCTCTGCAGCCCTGGGACAGCACGTCTGCCGTTGCCTGCATCTCTCTGCCTCTTCTGTCACATCATGGGGAAGCACTGGGAGCCTCTGGGCCCAAACCCCAGGAAACCGGCTGGGTGGGCCCTCGGGCTGGCCAGGCCCCCAGTGTTCCCCTCAAAGACAGTTTCAATCTGCCCTCACTGTTGGTGCTGCCCACACGATGGCCCCCAATCCTGGGCCCAGATGGAGCTCTAGATAAACAACTAAGGGCCGAGGGAACATCTCGAGTCCCGGGCAGTTTTGAATGCATCCACTGCCACAGGCCCTATCATACACTGGCCGGCCTGGCCAGGCACCAGCAGCTGCACTGCCACCTGTCGGCTGGGCCCGCCTTCACCTGCAGGTACTGCGACAAGGAATATGCCAGCCTGGGGGCCCTCAAGATGCACATCCGCACCCACACGCTGCCCTGCATCTGCAAGGTATGCGGCAAGGCCTTCTCCAGGCCCTGGCTGCTCCAGGGCCACATCCGCACCCATACAGGTAGGATGGGCAAGGCTGCAATTCAGGAAAGGGATACAGGTTGGGGAAGGGGCTGGACCATGGGCAGAAGAAAAGAGAGGCTGGTCTCATCATTGGCGGGGTCCTTGCACCTCCTGCAGATGCTGACAGACAGCTCCACAGATGAAGAACACCACAGACATATCCTCTCAAGGTCCTGAGGCCAGAAACCTGAAATCCAGGCATGGCCAGGCCACATTCTCCCCAAAGATGATAGGAATGCCACTTCTTTGCCTCTCTTGTCTCCCGGAAGCCACCTTACTCATTGGCGACTGACCACACCTGTGTCTCTGCCTCTGTCCGCCTAACATCTTCTCCTCAGGTGTCTGTATCTCTGCTGTAAGGGGAAGGAGACCCCTGCAAGTCATAAAACCAGGGTCCACCCACGTGGCCTCATTGTAACTCAGTCATCTCTGCAAAGGCCTTCTTTCTGAGCAGGGAAGTGTCAGGAAGCAGGTATCTCTCGAAAGATGAGACTGAGGATTGCAGAGCTCCAGTGGAGCCTATCCCCACATTTGGTGGCTTCAGGGCCAGCAAGGTGTGTGAAGGTGAGGAAGCCTGGCCGCTGTGGAGACTCCAACAAGAAGGGCAGACTCTGGATTTGGAGAACTGTAACCAGCTAGGACACAAGTGCCCCTTGTGGGCTGCAGACCAGACAGACAATACTCAATGACCCCTCCCCTTCCACTTGGAAGGGTTATCCTGGAAGCCAAGGTCCCAACAGAAAGATTTTGTCCCAATCCTTGGTGGCCCTGATTGGAGATGGTGCCTGTGTCCAGGAGTATATCTTACTCCATCCAGCTCTGCCCTCACAGTGGCTCAATATTATGCTGGCCAGTGGCCAGGAAGGGCTGCCAGAGGCTTCCAGTACTTCTCATGGTCAGAACTGAGCAGCCAGGGCTTGGTAGAGACAGAGGAGTAGCCACACTGTGCCTTTGCCTCAGAAGAGCCTCTGATACTGTGATTCTGCCCAGAGTGACATTCTGATTGTCCAAAGGGCTCTGACCTTGGGTGCTAGGGCTGTGATGAGCATTTGGAGGGCAGAGGCAAGTTACTCATTAATAGACAGGGACATTTCACCTTTGGCCACAGTCTGTGGGATTGTACTGGCCGTGGTCACTCACCTGACTTCCCATCTTCCTCCCACAGGTGAGAAGCCCTATACTTGTCCTCACTGCAGCAGGGCCTTTGCTGACCGCTCCAACCTGCGGGCTCACCTGCAGACCCATGCTGGTACCAAGAAGTACCGCTGTACCGTCTGCACCAAGGCTTTCTCCCGCATGGCTCTCTTGGCTCGGCATGAGGAAGCTGGCTGCTGTTCTGGCCCTTAGAGGCACAGCAGAGTGGAGGGACCAAGACTGACTGTAGTCTCAGTGGCTCTATGTCATCCAGGACAATCAGAGGAGGCAGGGCCCAGCCCACTGTTGCCTGGGTCCAGCCAGAACCAAGAAGCCCAGTAGAGCCTTGAAGCATCTTTCCCCAAGGCCTACATTCAGAGTAGATGTATCACCACAAGACTCACCAAAACAAGAACCAACAGTTTCATGTTCAGCTTGGCCTGTCTGCTGGACCTATTCCAAGAAGGAGAGACTATTGGGAAGTGGCTAACACCGGACAAATCCCACCATGACACCAGTGAGCCTGGCCACCTGGGTCCCTTAGTGTGCAACTTGAAATGATCATTTTTACTTGAGAGCACAAGGTCTGTATAACATTGGGAAGCACAGCTACCTCTCAGCCAGCCTCACTTGCCTTTGCCCTTGGGTTGGAGACACATTTTCTCTTGCCCCTTATGTACACATGCATTCACACACATGAGCATGCATATGTCCCAGCTCCTCCCCCTGAGATGAGGCAGGGCCAGGGAGGATCGGGCTGATGCCAGGTCCTGCCTCATCTCCATTGTCCTGCTTGGAGCTGGCCTCAGTGACTGCTTAATGTCTCAGCAGAGCAGCCGTGAGGTAATGAATGAAGAGCCTCCACACTCAGGCCTCCTGTCTTGAGCCTTGAAGTCTTGAGTCTTTACCAATCCACTTGAATCTATGGAGGAGGCAGAATTCTCCAGGGGCAATGGGATTCCAGATAACCTGGGCCTTTCTGGGTACAGGGCAGGCAGGAGACTGAGGGCATCTTGTGGGAGCATTTCAGAGCCCTGTGAGGCTGGGGCCTTCACTGGAAATGGAACCTGAGAGAGAAGCTGCACGAAGTGATTTGGCCTGGAAAATGGAGATGAGCCTACAACTAACAGCAGGGTTAAGGGGCCCGTGGAGGATGCTTGGACAGGACCAAGGCTGAGAACTGCTAGGAATACTATGTGCAGCTGAGTAGCATCCTGAGCCCAGAACAGGGAAGGACTTGCTTCTTCCATTGGATCTGGTTGACTCTAGTTGGCATTTGGACAGAGAAAGGAAACCCACAGAGTCCACAAGAGAGAATTCTTGACACCTTTTTAGGTAAGAGGCTATCGGGCAATCCACTTCTGGCCCAGAACAAGGGACATGAGCCAGCATCCTTTGTTCAGGCCCAGTAACAAAGGCCCAGCTTCTTCTGGGCTTCCAGGAGCCTGCTAGAAAGCCCATGGGTCATGCAGGTACCTTCACCTCTGGTTTTGCAGCTGCTTCAGGCCAGACTCGGTAAAGAGCATCTGGCTGTGGTTTGCTGGTGTGAGGGATAGCTCCCTAAGAGGCCTTAGGGACCTCCCAGAGGAAACTTGAACTATTTGGAGAAAGTCTCAAACAGTCTCAGTCTATAACTCACATTGGCCTTGAGCTCACAGCAGTCCTCCTGCCTCAGCCTCCCAAGTGCTGGGATTATAGGGGTGAGCACCATTCCTGGCTTAGGAATGTGACCTTGAGGTTGGGCTTCTAGACCAGGAGTGGCTGCAAATGCATAAACACCCCACCCCGACTCCTGTGAGAAAGATGGCCGCAGGCTGACTGCAGCAGACCTGTGCCAGCTGGTGGAGGGACACACTTGAGACAGACACACTCATGTTTTCAGACCAAGAGCACTGCCTTCCAGGGGGTGGGTAGGAACTGGATACGAGGGTATCCTCTGAATGGAAAAGCACGCACCAAAAGTTCTGGAGGCCAGAAGTCCCAGCACAAAGAGACCTTCAGGGCAGGAGGTGAATCTTGTCCTTGGCTTGTAGGAGGAGTTCCTCCGTTTCTGCCTTGGCCATCACACTGCCCTGTCCTGTGAGTCTCTCCAGAGTGACCTTATCTTAACATCTGCGAAGATCCACTTCAGGTTGCAGTCTAAGGTTCTAGGGGTTAGGATTTTGACATGGACTTGGAATGAAGGACTGCTGTTCAGTCCAAACATCCTAGAACATGTGTTGACAAGTCACCTTCCCTGTGACTGACCCTCACTCTTGGAGCAAGGCAAAGGGGTCTAAATGATCCCTTCTCAAAATCTACACAGGACCATGGGATAGTCAATTACCTGAAAAAGCTTCAAAGGTTGGGTAAGAAACCCCTCTCCCCCCACCTCCTCTTCATCTCTCTGTCAAAGCAAAAGAAGGAACCTTGTCCCCAAATGTCTGGCCCTCTGTAAGCAGGTCAAGATTCCCCAGACAGGGGGGCCCTCCGAGCTCTAACCAACATGAGCCTGGATTTCTCACAGGAGCGTTCTTTTAAAATAGCACCCAGATGCCCAAAGGAAGCTATATTGTAGATTGTGTTCTATTTCTGGTTTCTCAAGTCTAAATGGGGTTGTCGCACCTGTTGGTATGAAGCAGGGAATCTCACAGCCTAAAATAAAGTGGAATGTTTTCCCCCTTTGGTTCCAGCCCATGGAAAATGCTCTTGTATTTATATCTGGGCTGGTGGAGGGCTGAGGTAGCGGAGGGTAGGGGTTGGCAGAGGAGCAGGAGGAGGGCACCTGCCAGGGAACTGATACGGAATGAATGGAGGATACTTTCCACTCAGCAGGCCAGGCCGAAGTCAGGCCACAGCGGCTGAGCAGCCCCGCCTGCAGACACCTGTGCCTGCTCAACCAGCCTGGCGCTCCATGGCTTCCTCCTCCAAAGTCTCTCCTTATTTTACACAGCACAGCAAAGGAACTGAGGGTGTTTACTTCTCACTTGATTTCTGCAGAATGAGGGTCAGGAAGTGGGGGGGGGGGTCCCACAATATGCTTGGCCAGCCTCTTTTCTTTTTTGCCTTTCCTATCTGTCCCAGTCTACCAAATTACTCTTCAAAGCCCCACTTTCCCACGAGGGTCTTTTTTATTTTTTATTTATTTATTTATTTTATTTTTGGTCTTTTGAGACAGGGTTTCTCTGTGTAGTTTTGGTGCCTGTCCTGGATCTCAATCTGGCCTCAAACTCACAGCTCTGCCTCCCAAGTGCTGGGATTAAAGGCGTGCACCATCACTGCCCAGCTCCCAGGAGGGTCTTTTGAGAAACTTTCTGGTCATTTTGTTAGAACCACTCTCCAAAGAATGAGCAGGGAACGAGGAGGGACATGGGCCCAGGAGAGTTGGAAAGCAGGTAATTTAGTCACAGACCAATTGTGTCTGTTGAAAGCAGAGGCCTCCAAGCTCAGTGATGAACAAGATAAATATATAACATCTGTAAGCTGGCTCCTCTGAAGTGCTGGCCGTTCTCCCTGTATGTGGCCGTTTGCTCACAGGACAGGTACCTGCAGAGAGAAGGTCTAGGGTCTGAGGGTCTCCACTGCTCTTCCAGTCAGGGTGGAAATTAAAGATCATCCTTGGCTTTCTGGAAACAGGTGTATGAGGGACAGCAGGCCTCTGGGTGACCCAGTCTTCCTCCCCATAACCTGCTGAAAGAAGCCTCTTCAGAAAGCCAAAGAGGTGCTAAGGTTATGGCTTTTGCTTCCAAAAGCCCAGCGGATTCTATAAATATCATTTTGGCCTTGGAATATTCTAGGGGCTTCTCTAGATGCTTGAAATAGCTCACTTGTTACTATCTATACTCAGAGCACCCATTCCTGGCCACACCCACATGGCTAAGTATAGCTCTCTGGCGAAGCTCGATGGAACACAAGTTTCCAGGGTGCTGCGGCTGTGGAACATCCAAGGAGAGTGCATGGCTGCTGAGGTAAGCAGCCACACCCTTCCCGCCCAGCCCTGAACATCCAGTGTCTGCTGAGTGAATCCTATAGCTGGCTTCTCCATATCTGGAAGAAACGCTGGCACTGGAGAGACGGCTTAGGAGTTAAGACGGATACGTCAGGCACCTTACAACCACCTGTAACTCCAGCTCCAGGGATCCAACGCCCTCTTCTGGCCTCCATGGACACCCACACACATGTGGCATATAGACACACATATGTAAAAAAGAATCCTTAAACCGGGCAGTGGTGGCCCACACCTTTAATCGCAGCACTCTGAGGCAGAGGCAGGCGGATCTCTGTGAGTTCGAGGCCAGCCTGGGCTACAGTTCTATGTCAGGTGTAAGAACACATCTAAGGCCCAGTTTATCCTTGGCTCTGAATTTTATATCTTATTTATATATCTCTAGCTGGGGATATAGCTTAGTGGTACAAGACAGGCCTAGCATGACTGAAGACCCAGGGAAAAGAAAGGGAAGGAAGGAGGGAAGATAAATGGATCCTTAGGGCATTTAAAACACAGTATGACTGTACCTTAAACTCTATTAGGACATAGTTCTGCCCCTTAAAGACAGTGGTCACTCTAAAAGGCCAGATCCCATACCCTGAATAAATCAGGCCACACCTCCCTGCAGCTCTCTTTGGGACAGAGCTAAGAAGTAGTCTGTTAGCTGAGCAATGGTGGCATATGCCTCTAATCTCAGCACTTGGGAGGCAGAGGCAGGCAGATCTCTGAGTTTGAAGCCAGCCTGGTTCACAGAGCAAGTTCCAGGATGGCCAGGACTGCACAGAGAAACCCTGTCTCAAAAAAAAAAAAAAAAAAAAAAACCAAACCCACAAAGAAGTAACCTGTTGTTTATCTGTGCACCACATGTGTGCCTGGTGCCCATGGAGGTCAGAAGAGAGCATCAGAGCTCCTGGAATTGGAGTTACAGATAATTATAAGCCACCACGTACAAGCTGAGAATCGAACCCTGATCCTTAGCAAAAGCAACAAATGCTCTTAATTGCTGATTCATCTTTCCCCCATTTGACAGCTCTTAATTTAAGACACCTGCCTCCTCCATACTTTTTGTCTTGCATGCTATGTTGAACTAAATCATGTGATATGAATTCCACCAATTCCCCAAAACTCTGACACTTCTTTTGTTTTGGTGATTGCCTGGGACATCATTCTGGGGAGTCACTCAAGCTCTCTCTGCCCCCCTCCTTCTCTCTCTCCCCCTCCATCCACTCCTCTCTTTCTCCTTCGCTCCTTATCTTCTATTGCTAAAATTCCTTCCCTTTGGAAGACAGAAGCAGCACTTACCTGACTTCTCCTATGATCCCAATAACAAACTAAGGTACTATGCCATCAGATGACTTCCCTATGGATTTGTAGATGGACACCCCTTCCCAAATTCTTCCCCCACAAGTATATCCTCTAGCCCTAGCCAGAGACCACAGGTCACATGCAGATAAGGCAAAATTGCATACAATTTGTTGGGAGGGATGGTTTGATACTCAGGTGATGTTCTCAAGACCCTTCTCGCCCCTCCTTCCAAGAGTGATGGTCAATAGTCAACAAGGCCAGCTTTGGTGATCTTTGGCTATAATAGTAAAAACTAATGTCGGGAAGCACTTTATTTATTGGGTGCATCATTTAAGAAACCAATGGCAGTTGTCTCTCCACTGGTGCCCATGACTTCCTTAGTGATGGTGTTTTGTCTAAGGTTCCAGTACCAGATGTGAATTTCCTCCTCTGGAAGGACATTAAGGCCATTCAGAAACTTGGGGGGTTGTTTGCTTTGTCTCTATATGTAGCTCTGGCTGCCCTGGAATTCTCTATGTAGACCACGCTGGCCTGGAACTCACAGAAATCCACCAGTCTCTGCTTCCGAGTGTTGGGATTAAAGGCGTGTGCCAGCACACCTGGCTTAGAAAGGTTTCTTCACAACCACTTGGGCCACTGTTGCACTAGCTGGCACACTGTGAAGCATGCCAGTCCACAACGGAGTAGGACTTTTGGTCCTGGTCCTCCTCAGCATCCTTAGAAGCAGCTTCTGGCACCCAGGAGCTAGCTGGCAGGGAGAAGACACTTGCAACTGAGTCCTAGCTTCATTTCTCCAAGTCCTGCGACCAGAGCATAAAATGTCTTCAGCAATAAGGTCTTACCATTTGGTTCTGAAATACAACCAGCAATTGTGGTAACAGGTGTTATCTTTCCGGGGCCTCTAAGGTCTCTGTAGCCAACAACCGCTAGGGAGGTAATCCGTCACTGGCACTGGGTTCTCAACAACTTTATGGGCTGGGCGTGGTGGTATACACCTTTACTTGGGAGGCAGAGGCAGGAGGATCTCTGTAAGTTAAGGATGTCCTGGTCTACATAACAAGTTCTAGACCAGTTAGAGCTATATAGTGAGAACCTGCCTCAGACAAAACAAAACAAACACACCAAAACAAAAACAAAACAAAAAACCACAAACCATCCACACACAAAACCCAGAAAAACAAAAACAAAACAAAAAACCACAAACCATCCACACACAAAAACCAGAAAAATAAAAACAAAAACAAAAAACATGGTTTCAGGCAGCATCTGTTTCCCCTCACAAGATACGCCCCCTCCCATTTACTCCTTAACATTTACAGACCCAAGTTATTGCAGGCTTGTCTTAATCACCTTGGTGGACAGCGTCTGCACCTTACCCAGCCTTAAAGCTCCCAAGAATGTCACGCACGGCTGAACCTGGCCCTCGAACCCTTTTGAACTAATTTCCCATACTTGCTCCTTCAGGTGCATCCACACATCTCAAATGGATTTCCAAATCTGCAAAACACTCAGTGATTAGTGGGGTTACAAGGATAACCCTGGCAAAGCACTCTGAAAGCCCACTATAAGTGCTGGGTCATCACAGAAGTTCTCAGCTGATACAGTAAGGTCAAAGGTGAGCAAGGTCTAACAGCATGGGAAGATCCCACACATTAGAATCAATCGCTTCCTCCATAGATCAAGGTTGGGTACAGTTGTGTGGGTAGGAGGCACTAAATTAGCTCTCCACAGTCCTCAATCTCTGAGCCCTTGCGCCTCCATATGCTGAAGCTCCCCTCCCTGTGCAGCCTCGCTGTATCTCTCCACCCCTGATAAACCCAGTGGGGCTGGCTCAAGTTGCTCAGCTCTACCCAGGGCTGAGTGGCCCCACCCATGCCTTGCTCTCCCCTGCTCCTGGTTCCCTGGGTCTAAGAGGCTCTGCATCGTCGTTGGCACTGGCTGTAGTGCAGCTGTTGCCTCTGCATCCACCACATCTGGCTACTGGAGGAGGTCATGGCTGGGTAGACAGTCTTGACCTTATTGTAACTTTTTGCAAGAGGGACATGTACCCTGATTAGTCAGGGGATAGAATACCCACCCCTGGGACAGGCTTGCTCTTCTTCACCTGTATGATTTTATCACGATGCCTTTTGTAAACTGCTCCTCATGCTTCAGAGCCTTCCAGCAGCTTCTTAGTACAGAATTTGTCTTTTTGTCCATTTTTTTCCTTAGAACTCAAGCAAATCTGGACTCATTTGCTCCAAATAACCCAGACAGATCTCTTCCTCTAATTTGCTTCTCTCGTATCTCCTCTAGGCCACTCTCCCACTTCACTAACATTCTACCATACTAGCCTAAGACACTTCCCTTCTTCATAAAGATCCTACCCCACCAAGGGGCCATCAAAGACAGCAAAGCTCCAA